TTGTGTTCATGCGAACTCGGAATTAGAAGCACAGACTCGAAACGCATTCAAAGTTACCAACGACGCGAATTTTCACAGCTTCGAAAGCACCCACGCACGCGAGATGGAACATTTCCTACGCGCGATACTCTTGGAGCAATCGGAAATTGGTTGAATAATCAATTCATGAACATTGATGAATTCGGTCAACTGGACTCGAATAAAGTCACGCTGACATCAACGAGACAAGAAATCAAGTTCTCAGGATGAGGTATAAAAATAAATTAAGCCCGGTCACCTTCACTGGATTCCTCAGCAGGGTTTGTCCTCAAATTATTGGGCTTAGAGGAGGTCAGTTAGGATTGCTCCTGATGAAGCCGTGGCCCACCTTATCCCAGGGCACTAGAGCAGGCTCAGTTTAGGTGTTCCGGTTTCTACTCCCTCCTCGGTCGGTATATCAGATAGGACAATTGCGTCGTTCTGTTCGTAACGCATTCACGAAGGATATGAAAAGAATTCCCTACAGTGATACTACGCATATCCGGAATTCAAACGGATTAACGCACAAACTTCAACGCATGAATGATGAGAATTTCAGCGCTTAAGCTGTAAAATCGCGCCGAAAACTGGGGCGCCGGCTGAACTAGAGATTGTATGAAATCTTCAGTAGCACTGGAACTAAACGCAAGGTACACAACACCGGAAAAATTGAGCTTTTTTTCCTGGAAGAGATACTTGAACTGTCGATTGTTTTCATCGAGAAATAACCTCAAAAACGACGAAAATATCACAATTTGGAAGATTTTTTCTGTGAAATTTAAATACTCCCGCAGCAAGTTCATCCTCTGCATAGGCCGCATCTTAACCCGAACAATTTCATCCCGACCCATTCGAATCTCCCTTGAAATCGCTGTTCAAAATCGGGGTCGCAAATGTTCTATATTGGCGTCAACAGAGTATTCAAAGTGTAAATGAAAGCCAAATTTTAAGCCCCAAGATGAAATTTAGAATCAGGAAAAATCCTTCAAGAGATAAAACAGCGTCCACTTGCGATAAATCGCTCCCAGTGAAAACGGAATTCCAGAACATGGAATCGTCGAAAAAGAAGCCACAGTGGACGTGCGCGTCAGCCTTTTTCGGCAAAAGAGTGGAAACTCTTTATTACGACACTAGAATGTGGGAGATACGCAACTATTTAAATTATCAAAGGAAAGTTCTTTCGATTAGGCAGGCGAAACTTCCGATTCCGCCGTGTCATGAGTCAGCGAGTATATAAAGGAAAAAGTTCAAATCTTAATCATTCTGCACCGAACAAACGCCTTCTTATTCCAGCCGAGGGTTAATGGATCATTAAGCACCCCGTGCAAATATTCCAAGGTTTTTCCGCAATCGTGAGAGAAGAAACTCATCAACTCAAAACTAATGTCGTTACGAGGATACAGGAGAATTAACATTTTCCCCCTATTACAAGCCAAAATGTTGGTTTAAAATTTTTGAAATTTTAATAAAGCCTGTTCGATATAATCAACCCCTTGCGAAGAAGCGTAGTTTTTGAGTTGCGTGAATACAGGTACGGTACCAATGAGATTAAGTTCAGTAGCCAAGAATTCTGTTTCAACATCAGACGCTAATCATGAAGTTGAATCTGAGTCACATTAATTGTTCGCTCTAGTAGGCTTCTCATGGAAGGAGGAAAATATACTTTCAGAATCACCGAACGTGGAATGGTTTTCAAGTTGTTGCGAAGACACAGACGTGTATCGCAAGGAAACCCGAAGTTGCCTCACCGCTTGTATAAGAGACGAGAACGTGCCGAGCACAAAACCTGGAGGACTCGCAGTTCGCGTCTAATGCAACAAACCTTTCTTCTGATGTCGCCATTTCCCAATTGCCTGCCAGATCACAACGGCCAGCAAACTTGGGATGATCGGCGGAACGGATTCCAGCAACCATCCGGCAGCCGACTCGAAAATGGAGGCCCACAGCATGATGATAAATCGGATGCCTATTCCCAAGTCACAAAAGCCGCCTCGACTATCGCGACTCTCGCCGGAGTCGCATCACAACAGCCTGTTGCGCAACAAGGTCCACTAACATCGAAAAACTGAGAACACTGTCCTCGCGGTAGCACGATTGATCGAAACGATGCCTGGCAAACGGGAGAGGGAAAAATTCCACGTCTCAAGGTCCAACACGGCCTCGCCGGTCACAAGGTTCAGAATGCCAGGACAAGTCACCCTGAGCGAGAGAACTCGACGCCGCGAGCACGGGCAAGCGAGGGAACCGAACTGACCGAAGCCGCGGCACGCCTCTGAACCCCAAACGAGTTGCACACGGAGGGTATTGCCACACCTGTGGCCAAGATCCTCCACCATTCCGCGCCTATAAACAATGCACGGCACATCGAGACCCAAGAGATCACGAATTCACGGGGATCACACGTCCGACAATGCACGTGAGCGTCAGAAACCCGAACTCGACTTACGCAGGCGGGAAATGAACCGAAGCGCCGCTGGTCTAACCTATCTCCCCACGCCTCCTCACCATCCATCGCATGGAGCTCGTTCCCTCTCAACCCACACTTGTAATTCTTCCGCTGCTGATGCCCTCCCGAATCTCGCCACTTGCTGCCAATGCCCCTTTCCTCCAACCCAATACATACGACGTGCTTCGCAACAATACCGTTCGTAAGCATTTGTAACCCCAGAGATTCCCCTAGTATCGGCCGCACCCTCGTTTCAATCCGCGATTAGGAAGGGGGTACTATCGGCCAACAACAATGTAACCTGGGGGGAAGATGCAACCCGTCCTAAAGGCAAAGCCTGCTAGTTCACCTGAAAGAAATATTTAACGAAGAATAAAACTCTTATCGACGTAAGCGAGGCCTAACTGCAACCAGGGATGGTTGAACTGATGGGGGGGGGGGGTTTAAATTTATTAAAATTAGAATAGCTTAATTTTAATAACTTTGTCAGTCGCAATAGGAAGAAAGAGATCTTGATACCCTTGGGGCCGGTATAAACCTCCAGATATTTTACTATAGGCCGCATTCCGACCCGACTATGCTAGATTGTGGCCCTCTTCTGTCGTAAAAACCTCAAGATGTGCAAATATTTCCGTCCAACGTCCGTAATTAATCTGGGGAGCAGACTTTCTTTTTCAACGAATGGCAGTCATCAGCAGTTGCAGTTTAAAAATGTACTTTCCCAATGATAACGAAGTTGCGAGTAAACTTGATATGACACACATTGGCTAAGGGTCTCACATGTTATTAGATTTATTACTGTCGGGAAATTTGCATTTTTCTGCACCACTGCGCATTAAGATCTTTTCTCCTACCGACGTACGCTGAAGATCGTTCGGCTCGCAGTCACGGACCATACAAGGTACTCTTGATTAAAAATTATACAGTATTATTCAGGTCAAAAGCTGCTGTAGCCTTGCCCTGTCGAGATATATTCCTTTCAAGAATATAGCCCTGAAATAAATTAAATTAGAGTGAACAGTTCTAATCCTTCCACACGAAGAAACACCTGAAAATGTATTAAGAAGTCGTTTCACGAATATTGAGACAGTTAAGGGGCACAGAAAAACACTGGATAAAAGCCTCAACTGCAGCATTCGTAGCAACGCTTGATGTACGGAAGGTGCACCGAAGATTACGAAGTCAACATACTATACAAATTGCTTACAGGCATTAAGATTTGTTTAAATATTAATATCGACATGTTGAAATGGTTTTCTTCCGAGGCAATGAAAATAAGTAATAACACGGATCTATCAGGAAATACACGGATAATTCATGACGAAGGGGAAAAAAAATTCTGCCAGGACTCACGCGGATCAACGTCGTACTCAACCTCGAAGAAGAAAACAGCCCTCCCTACTTCATACGAACATCCCGTAGACACTTACGGTCACGCCACTACCCTGACCCACATATTCAGTACCGCGGTTATGGGCCGACTCCGAGGTTCTTTTATTTCGTTTGAACGCTGGGAAAGTTAGTCTTTCATCTGATTACGGCGCGGTCCAGGGATGAAACTAAGGTACGCGAAAAACGACAAGAAAAATTAAGAACGTTCGCGGGGCTCGGTCAAACGTGCCAAGCCAAATGCCTCGGAGACGAAATGAGGCCTCCGATTCTATTAAGACCTGTGCAACGCATTGCATTTCCCGCCTCTGGTCGTAACGTTCGGTGTCACGACACGCAAGTCGCCCCAGTCCGCATACCAATGACCGGGAACGTTCGACAGGACAGAGTACCAAATAAATCAAACCGCTTTTCTAAGTACTACGGTACAGGGTACGGCAAGAATCTTCGGGACAATCAAACGCCAGGTCCAAGAGGACAGACCGGCAACGCATGCAAAGCAATAAGCGGTTCCGTTCGCTCACCTGCCACCTGAACTAATCACGGCAACGAACATGACGAGTCGACACAGGCAGATCGTGCGTGGGCATTGAGCTCATTCTGATCGCTCTTCATTTTTCTCGGCTAGCGGTTCATTTAGACAGCTATTCAGAATGCACAACCGTCCTAAGCCCTGCTGCGTCCAATATCAGCGACTAATTCTAACAAGACTAAATAACCGTTACACTTTGGTATGTAATGAAGGATATCCCCACACCTTCAGCTTCACAATTGCGGGGACCTGAGACAGGTGTTTGAATGATCTCATGACGCATAATTCCATCATGATCCGCGATATCCGCGTATTCAGCAATACCGAACGAATAAAAATCAGATTTACCTACTCGATCTACGGAGCCCCAACTTAAGCTTGTGGGATTTTATTCATTGATCTTTTCTGAACATTCATTCTAACAATTGCCCTTCTATGACAACTCAATTTATCGAACCCTCCTTCAAAAATTAGACGTTAGTTTCGACAACTGCTATTCCATCTGGTAGCACTTCTGATGTACATTTGATTAAGAGAGCATTCCCTTTTGTGAGTTCCATTTGAGACTTGGGTGATTTTTTTTATCCAAGAAATACAAACTAGACACAAATTAATTTAAGCGTGTATGTGCTCTGGAATGAAGTTATCTACAAGCAGACAGATCATTTGACAAAATTCTTCCATTTTTCATTTTTCAGGAATATGTTCTCTAAAGTCTACCCAACACACAGAATCATTGCTTTCTCTTGCAGCTGAATTCAAAACAAAAGTATCTCTTTGAAGCCTGATTTGTTCTGAATGCATTTGTTTCATCATTCTATATTTTGATTGATCACTGCAAATATAAATACGTTTAGACCTTGATAACTATAACCTCCTATAACCTGAGTTGAATACGTATGTTGCTGTGTCAACTTTATTCAAATCCCTTTCTGAATTCCCTTAGAAACAATGCATTAAAATTCTCCACAACTCCAAGGCTTTCCCCCATCAAACCTCAATGATTATACATTTCTGGAGGCCTTTTGGGTATTGTTTATCTGACCAAAGAGAGAGAAAAGCAAAAAATGTAGCATTATGCATTTTCAAAGGAAATTATAGAATAATTCGGCAAATGAACCATTGCCATTACTTCTGCTATCACAATTTCAAGCAATCCTTCCTTTCCCCAACAAAAATGCTCACTTCTGTAATTCAAAACCTTCGTAATTCGAATTGTGTTGCTGGTCCCTTGAAATTCGACTCGGCGGTTTGACTGTACCTCAATTCCAAAATGGCTATCAATTTTAATAGCAGGTTTAGATTTTGTAGAATCAATTTTTACATTTTCCTGAAAATTTTAAATAATACAGTATGAAAACTGCTCATCTGAGAATACAAGCACAGAAATAAAAACACAAGAAACACAGAAAATAGGCTTTCAAATTCTTTTTTTTTAATGTATGATGAAGAGGCTGTTGACACAGAAGATTGTAAATTCTTCTGAAGATTATGTAGTTTATCCAACAGCAGGAAAATCTTTACGAACTTCGCTGTATTTGGTTGATTGGATTGGTGATTTGTTTGATGGAAAATCTTCCATGAAGGACTATGTCGCTTCACAATAAGTCCAGATACCAGATTTGTTTTTAATGTGGGATACTTAGTACATATTAGGTAACAGCAAAGATTGCTGGTAAAATATATACTTTACAGAAAAGCTGTCGCGAGACTTCACGGGAAATGGTGGCCGCGACACGCACATCATTTGATGAAGTGAACGCGTGATCAAGCACGATTTTATAAATCCCCATACAGCTAGGCATCTTCGTTTCGTCGAAATCGATGACGACGTGGGTGGAGAATTTATACTTTCCAGCTCACGTACAATCAACGTCCCGCACATATTTCGTTAAAAGCGGTGACAGCGAATAGAAAATACTGTGCCAATACAGAATAGATTCTTAATAAATCTAAAAAGGGGGGGGGGGGGGGCTCATTGGTTGCTGAAGAGATGGAGAGCAAGCAAGAGCAGAAATATTTTTCGTTTCTTCTTTCTTGCTACAATAAAATCCCATCGAGTTATTATTACCACGTTTTTATGAACTCACTTTCTTGTCTGTCTGTTTGTCCAGATCAAATTTTGAAACTCAAATTTCACTCACTTCCAGACTAGCTAGCAAGCTGAAACTTTCAGGATAGCCTAGAAACTGATGACAATGCAATCTTTTGTGAAAAAATAAATTTTAAGAATATTTTTTAAAAATAATAAAATAATTATAGTAGATTTCTATAATAAAACTTTGAGCAGGTTTTCCTTGGCCCCAAGGAAAAAACCCATGGTGAACTGAATTGGTCGCAGAGGTCCGAGTTCAATCCCACCCCCTGGAACATTTTTTTTCTAATTAATTAACACGTTTTTATTAACTCACTTTCTTGTCTGTTTGTTTGTCCAGATCAAATTTTGAAACTCAAATTTCACTCACTTCCTGACTAGCTATCAAGCTGAAACTTTCAGGATAGCCTAGAAACTGATGACAATGCAATCTTTTGTGAAAAAATAAATTTTAAGAATATTTTTTAAAAAGAATAAAATAATTATAGTAGATTAAAAAATTAATCTAAAAAACCACGTTTTCAAAAAGCAAAAAATAACCTTAAACGTGGTGCGCATGGAGATTGTTGGGAAGAAGTGAAATACAAATGAAATAGATGCGCACCACATTTAAGGTTATTTTTTGCTTTTTGAAAACGTGGTTTTTTAGATTAATTCTTTAATCTACTAAATTTTTTTGTGCTTTTTAGTCTTACTTGCAAAACGTGGTTTTTTAGATTAATTTTTTAATCTATTATAATTATTTTAGAAGTAAGCTTCTTGCGATATAAAGGTAATCTGAACTAACTGCACATGTTCAACTCCCTTTTCTGGATGGATACAGGAACATATATTCCCACAATGATTAACCCCATAAAATAGGTTCCCACATTTCCCACATATTTTCCGGTACCGACGTTTCCGTTGGTGCACAACTTCTCGATCTTCAGAAGTAAAACGAGGAATGAGAGAATTCCGTCCAGCTTGATATAGTACTGATATCTTACAGAATAAATGCCCCCAACTCGACCTTCAAACGGGGGAAAACTACAATTCAAAAACGATACGGCGAAAATATTTCCGAAATTGGAATGACACTCCATTCGATGAATCCTGGGTGAATTCTTCGATCCGATTACAGGAAACGAAACGTTTGCATACATAGTAACGCATTTTCAACTTGAGAAGTTTAACATTAATTGGAATTTCCGAATATTTCATTGTCCAGACAAGGAATTTTAAATTAATTGAGTTTTACCGTTGGAGAAATACCTATTTCGAAGTACAGCATCAAGTACTGTACCTCAAATACGTTAGAGGCATTCTTCGTAAAAATGTTTCTGGCTGATCGCAAGGCAAGTCCCTACTAGTGTCACTACTACTAAGTCAAAAATGGGGGGAATTAAAATTTGAAGGTCAAATCCATAGAATGCGAATCCAATTAAGCTTTCATCTGAATGGAAGTCAACGCTTGCCCTGATCATCCTTCAGAAGACGCAGGTGTTGTGAGTATAATAGACCTGCCTTGAACCCAACGCGGGTATGAACGCGCGTTCATTTGCATTTTCGAGGAAGAAAAGTAAACAAACACTCACTTGTTCTAACAGGGATCATGGACTTTCGAAGTGCCCCGGTTTTGACAGTCGAGCGAGTTTTCTCAGACGGCTGAAATTAACAAAAGACCTTGCGTATAAATTCAATGCGGAACGGCAGGAAGTATCAAACCAATGGTTTGATTTCTAAGAACATAAGTTGACGTCTTCGATCGGTATACGAAACCGATAGCGAGTCATTTGTGATGGCTGATGACCAAGTAGACGATTCAAAGTCGTGACTGAACTATATAGAATTAAAGTATGACAACAATCATTGAAAGAAATATTTGACATTGCCAGCTGATCAGGCAAAGCAAATAAAAACTTGTAAATTAAGATCTTGACTTAACCAAACCAAGTATCGGAATTGAAAGAACGAAAAATCAGTTTCCAAGTCGGTCATTTACTGCAATAAAAATAATACTACGGTCTGTCACCTTTACAACAGCATTCCGACTCTCATTCGCGGCATAATTAAATATCGCATTAGCTGAATCTGCATCATAGGAAGCTACCGTTTTTCACTCATGAATTTCATTCCGAAGCTCAAAACCTACCTTTGAAACGGCAGGAGCGATTCCATTCCCAGCAGTACAAATAGCGCCTTCCGTCGCCTTGTTTACATGAGAAGCCGGTAACACTTTGCTCCCAGAAGCAAACGTCACCTTGTTGAGGGCTACAACCGAAGGTGAATTACTTCGCATAGTTGCGGACTTCTTCCCTGGCTCTTTGGACAAAGCTGGTTCTGCTGACTGAGACCGACGCACCGCGGCTTGCTTCCTCGGAGGAGGACCTTGTGAAAGTTTTCGTGCTGGTCGGGTTATGACTAACGGAAGGGTCAAGGAAAGCCTGTGTTTCAAGATATCAATATGCATAGCCAACCCGATGTCTCACCAGAAGCGTGTCGCTCGGAACCTTCCTTAACTTCGCTGTGCAGCTGAAATAAGAAACATTGAAAATTCAAGACTAGGAATAGATTAGTCATCAAAGATGGATTACCTTGGGCTCGATGAAAAATGATGTACGTCTAGGTTTGGTCTCGCCAGCTGCAATAGAACGGGAGGTGGCAGTAGAAGCATTTTGTTTGAACGTGGAAGAGCCAGCATGAGAAGTGGCAGGCTCAATACCACTCTTCGATCTCGTAACAATATTCGAAATTTTGGAATATCTTGGCCTTGACGCCATGTCACTGTTTATATCAAGAGCTAAAAAATGCGAAAAGTACGCTTTTACAAATGCTCGCAAGAGAAAATTTTGCAAGACACAGGGCATATCACACCGCATATACAGAGCACCCATGTCCACAGATGTTTATTAAATATTGGGGTCCTAATCGGAACCTAAGGCAACGACGTCATTAGTGGACAGAAGTAGTAAAGCAATGTGACGCTTCTGTGCCCAAGTTCAACCTTCCTTTCGACGCAATCGTTTGAAAAGGAACATGCGATCAATCTACGATTGTCCCTTCACACAGCCTTAGAAAACATAACGTGCTTCATGAAATTGGAACAACTTTTGAGCTGAGAACCCTGAAGATGCGAAAAATGAAAATCTGACGGTCAAAACCGCTGAGACCTGAGAGTACAACGAAATCTCTCGACGACAGACGAGTGGAAGTTTCTCAATTCCCAAGAATCTCCTCGTAAGACCGTTGCATGGAATGTCAAGCGGCAGATTCCGATCAGGAATCTTCGACACGATAAGAAAATTCATTCGGACGTAGTGCGCGATATTGCCAGTTCCGTCTGCAGTAATTATTTTTCCAAGAAATCAAAAGCGTGGTTCTTCACGACCAGGTACGAATAGAACAGAAAATCCTAGCTTCGAAATTCGAGATTCTTTCACTTTACATGCTAAAAATGCGTGAATCGTCAATTTTCCACCCGCGAGGGGGCTGTCGAGTCTGAAACCACGGGCTCCTCAGGTAAACCGTGAAACGCATGAATCTCGGATTGAATCGCCTGTTCGTATGACGGTGGACTGACACCTGCCGGATCAGCAGAAACGTCTCCCATTACTACGTCTTCATACTTCGGTAATGATGACGTGGTCAGACGGGATTCGATGTTCAACTGCCGAGCCCGATGCGCACGAGGCGGCGTCATTGACGCCGACGAGTCATCATCGTCTCCTTGATCGTGGGCATTGTTCTGTAGGTGTCGCTGACGACGCCGCGCAGCATCTCGCTCCAGGAATCGCTGGCAACATGGCAGCCAACCGCAACAAGCTTCGATGACGCAGCGATAGTTGTAAGCGATATAAACCGCCGCGCAGAAGAACCAGACGCTCAGCAGCGCTATCGTGACGCGATTCTCGTAGACCCACTGTTCCCCATGTTTCTTCTCAACCCACTCCGTATAGTCCTCGGAATCCGATCCCGTACTGTTATGTTGGCCGCGTGTTGCTAAATCATTGTGCGAAACTTCTTGACGAGCCTTGCCTGCTCGGCTTCGAACCAGAACATACTTGCACAGGCATCTGCAAAGAAGCTTTATGAACTTGACCCTGCCAAAATCACGAAGTTCTCACAAGGACGAGAAACTATTCAATGTTCTGTCTCCGAATATTCCTACTTCGTAAAAATCTCCATGCTGGAGTGATCTCTCAAAAAATCCCCAGAGCTTCCTTTTGAAATATAAAATATTCTATGGGGTAAACTGGGAAAACTACATTTATAAATTTCAAGGACAAATTCTGATAGGCTGCGTATGTGTCAAGCGAAGGATTGGTCTTCAATTCACGGGATAAAAAATAAGTAACTTTCTCAATGAGCTCAAAAACCACGACATCGCAGCGGATGAGAACCTATCATGCGACCATCAAGTACTGTACAACCATTCGGAGTTCCCAATTCACACTCACCCCTGGGTGGAGTGGCAGAAGTATTCCCTTCCTGTGTTCACTCCTTTTGGACAGGTGACGCTAGATGCGGTGCACCTCTCGATGTCAGCCAGACACAGCTTCCTGGTATTGCAAACACCAGCACATAGATGGCAGTGATTTTCGATCTTCGAAGCAAGAAATCTGAACATTTCCGGTGCAGATGCCTTAACCATCATGTTCGTAGCAGATGCTTTCCGAAGACCATGCAAACAGCCGAGCTTTCCGCCATAGGACGACAGAATTCGGCGATTGGCCGTGAGGATCTGGTCATACATTCTTTCCTGCGAATCCTCTTCGTAACGAAATGGAGTTCTTCTATCGCTTATGCCGAGAACTTGAGGTAATACGACTGTATCAACATGATCGTCCTCCCAAATTTTTCCCACCAATACGTCTTCCCATTCGCTGGTCACGTCCGTGGCAAATGGCTCGGTTGAGATCGAATCGTTAACAATCTTAATATTCATCAGAGAAAGATTGAAAAATGGGGAATCGGCCGCGAACGTACACGGAAAGAAACATGCAGCAATGAAAAGGACCACATTTCGACAGTAGGCCTCAAACAACATCATGAAGACACGGACAGATGTTTGAGATTGAACCAAAACTGAAGAGGAAAATCATTAATTTCTCATTGAACACTGAAGCAATCTGCACTCGTATCGGTAACTAAGTCATATGAACATACACGGAATCACGCTAAGATAGCCTTGAATCTCGAGGCGTATACTGATTCACGATATTCAACACTCCACGTCAACTGAAACGATGAGTTGCTGCGAGCATGCGAAGTTCAGTGTTCTGAGAGATGACATTCACAATGCACATTATACAGTAGTTGAAAAGAGAGCAACGCTTCATGACGTCCCCGGTTCAGCACAACAGATTCATTGATTGATTACTGAGTTGATTACTGAGAATGTGACTACTGTCATCGGCGTAACAAAAGTAAGTACAGTGAGCGATTAAGATGTACGTCACCGAACGTGGAGGGGTCACCTACACCTGAGCCCGTCACTTCGCCCACCTAAGCTTGAGCAGGTAACTTCGCCTATCCGAACTTGCGCCGGTCACTTCACCCATCCGAAGTTGCGCTGGTCAATTCGCCCAACTAAACTCAAGCCCTGCCTGCCTGTTGCGTTGATCCATTGTAACTCAGGCATATTCGAGCAGCATACGCCATTTTCCAATTCTGAGCAACATCCCGACGCAAAATGGCGGATTACTCAGAAATCGCCCAACTAAACGTAAGCCCTGCCCGCCTGTTGCGCTGATCCATTGTCACTCAGGCATATTCGAGCAGCATACGCCATTTTCCAATTCTGGGCAACATCCCGACGCAAAATGGCGGAATACTCAGAAAATTATAAGATCGTTACGATACACTAAGCGATGAAGAAATTCAGAAAAGCCAACAAAATAACATTGAACATTCGAAACGTACAGTATCTATTCTAAAAAGAACTGACGAAAGCCGGTTGAAATCAGGAAATACATCGTCTCCGGGAAATTAGCCTCACGGACAGATACGATGAATTTTGCTATGGAAACAAAAGAAAAACAAAAACAAAAAAACTGCACCGTTTTCTCCACGACGTCGTGATTCAAATGAAAGCAGTTCCACGAACGAACGGACAGGAAGAAATACCCTACTTTCTCTGAAACATAATTACAGATTAGCTTCGATCTTTCGGATACTGGACTTCGCGGAAAGCGAGGCATAAGGAAAGAATGTTTCAAAATACCACGTCTTCGTGATAGATAACATTCATCATGTCGAATTTATCGGTAACAGTCGATGGGAATTGGGATCAAACAAGTACTGTTCTGTACATACGAACGATCAGGGGAAACTGCCTGCGTTGTTGCGCTTCACGAACAATCATCATCGATGTAGCGTTGATTTCACTCACCGAAGTCGATACCTCACCACCAAGAGAGCAACGGATTATCTGTTGCGGAACGGCCATATAATGTAATTGACAACAGACCTACTCCACGGCTGGAGACCTGCTTGATGGTGGCAGCGAAATTCTGAGTACAGTAGGGATCACTATTGAACAAGCTTATCTGCTGGACTCCGAGCAAGAGATAATTTGTTGGAACGAAGGGCAATCAGAGTAAGAGGGAGGGAAATCCCCGTTGAAAAAGATAAAAGGGTAAGAGCTAACCGCACGAGGGAATAAGAAAGAATAATCGCCGCAGATACTCTGAGGAGTGAAGACCCTATGCAGAAAAAAGCAGGGCAACCCAGTTTCCACGACGTCCCAAAAGCGTTGCCACCTACCTTAATATACTACCGAACAGACGTCGACAAAAATCCCGTACTTGTAGTGGAAATGATATGTCGCACGTACAGTAACGGATTGCACTGTGTTGCAGTGCTTCTGACACAAAACTCGGAACTTTAGAAATGAAAAAGGGTAGTTTTTTTCAACAAAGACAAAGAAATCTTCTAATCTTGCTACCGGAGCGATGGTGACTCACATTTCCCGAGTTTTTTTGTAACACATCCTGGCCACAGATCCATTCAGCCAGAGAAGGACCACCGACTTGTAAATTTATTACGCACTAGCGAATTCATCCTCTTTGACAGTTCTCTACATCCCTGCTCCCGTTTCGAAAGTACACTACAATACTGCATGTCGTACAGTATTGTCTATTGACTCAACAGATGATTTTTTTCGAAGGTTTTGCATCACAAAAAATTATGCATACAGGTTCTTTTCTTCTTGCACACTGGTTCGAGCGAACTTTTTGATGGGAATCCTTTTTTTCTCTACGACAGGATTGTGACGGGACAGAACAAACTTTTTCAGTTGAATCCTGAGATCATCAAGTTAACGACGAACAAGTTGGCCAACGACAAACATATTTTTCAGCAGCGGAACGAAAAGGGCGCTTCGTTCGAAATCCTTCGAAAAACTATCGCAGCATGTCTCCAGTACTCGGGACTATTTTCAATTTGACCATTGACCATAGGCACCACGAAAACACAATAGCGACTCGTCTTGGTACTCGAACTTACATCGTGATAAAGATGGACTCTCTCTACAAGGAAGTTCTATATGGGCCAGAAAAAAATGTGTTTCAGGGAGAATTCCGTCGTGGAACCCTTATAACATATAAAAAGAACCCTATGGTATAAAAAAAAACGCTATAAAGAGGAAACTGTTGTAGACAAGATCGTTGTAGAGAGTTTACCCATTACCACTAAAATACTATGAATTTCGTAAAAGATCAGCGAGCTGATTTCGTCACATGCTTGAATAGCTCCAAAAGATCCAGAAGTGACATTCATTTTTTTTCTTTCGAAAAATCAGGAAAGAGTTCGCTTCTCAGGTAGGAACGATCGCGACTGAATTCCTGCGCGAACACGAGGTATGTTTCAGTGACTCAGATCGGGAGAGCCAGCATCTAAAATCTCGGCACCCGTGTCTACTCCCAATTAGATCTGCTACTAATACACTACCAACGGGACATCCATCAAGATGTCACCGCGGGATTATCACCACGACGGATGCAAACCAATGCAAAAGTAGAAGTTTCGTTCGAACGCAGAGAAATGACGGGGGTGGCGATCAACACACATTTTTGCCAGTGGAGAGTGGAATGAATCGGGAAGAAAAACTGGGGTTGTAAATCGAAAGCGTGATTTACGCTTGAACTCCAATTTAGGGTTAATAACGAAGTACTTTATATCGCGCCAGAAAATTGCGTTCAACAAATGAAAAAAAAAACGCTTTCAAGGATGATCGAAATAAATGCAGCATCAAATAAGATTCAAAATTTTGAAGAGTATTAGCCCGGATGATTAGGAATCGAGAGGGAAAGATGAAAAAACTCGTAATTATAATTAGACCAGGTTTAATTTATCCTCTAAGAATCGGAATTATGATTAGGATACAGAAATGCACCGTTATATAATGCCCGAAAAATCAGAGTTATGTTGAACCAAAAAACTGCAATTTAACGCGAATCAATCATGCCAACCATTTTGATCAGTGACGAAATCAAAATGAGAGTACGATGGCTAGGGAAAATTTATGGCAATTTTGGATACCAGTTTTCTCTTAAGACTGCAGTTTATCAGAATCCATTAAATTTTAAAGGAAAAAATATAAAGAAGTCACCCGATCATAAATTTGATCGACGACTAAAAGGGAAACGAAAAGGGTTTCTCCAGTAGCTTCATTCGTCACGAACTGTGTGAATTAAGCATGAGATTCGGCAAGTGGTCGTAAATAGAAGAGATTTAAAAAACTTGCACTCCCATCTAATCACTTGAGATACTGCACCACACATTTTTCAATTAGATGTCAAAACATCAACATAAATCGCTGAAAGATCCCATAATAGCTGGACTTAACCGGTCACAGTGACGCATGGCGAAATCATTCGCGAAAATTCTGAAGAACAATAAACTATGCAACTATGCAAATCTCGCTAATTAAGAATCGTAACCCTTGAACAAAGCACTCATTGCAAGAGCTTCATTGTCGAACTTGCTCTGGATTTGAGCGTCTCTCCCGTCTAAATGGAACCGGACTTATCCAGTTCAGAACTTGCATGTATTTCGCTTTGAAAAAGTCTTCATTTTAGCAGAATATTCTTCCGAACTCCGGTGCACGAGCGCATCAAATCTCGAGGTTCAGCGCTAGATCCACAAATTCTTACTCACAGTCACGTTCTTAAATTTAAATTGATATCATGAACTGTTTAAAATTAGCGTCGCTGCTCAAGACACATTCATCACCTGTGTTGAGCAGGTATCCGACAATAACGGAAAACCCAAACACGAAAACTCGAGAACGGCGCGGCTTCGTCATTATATTAATTATATACTGTAATAAGCAAATAAGGGATACTATCCAAGTGTAGTCCTTGGGCTATTTCACAATGATCATATTGAGTAGACGTTCAAACCAACTAAGTCTTGCAAAATATATGGTATTTAGGTCGCGCGAGTCAAACAGATCTACGCGAAAGATTCGAAAACTTCTGGAGGAGAGACTTGTCTGCGTGACGCAGACTGAGCTCTAGTTAAATCGCGCTTTCCGCTCGATTCAATCACTGAACACGAGCTTTGCGTCATATGATGAGATCGGTGGTGGCAAAAAAGTCGACTATCGATTTCACATATGATGAAAATTCGAATCCGACAACCCGAGGAGGAAATCGCAGGTGTGGGAAATATGATAAAGTTGAGGGAACAACACCGCCGCCGAACGGATACAGAATCTATACGACTCACGACGTTGCGCACCCCGAGCTCAGATTTTGGGTAAGCAGTTCGTTCTCAACCTCGAGTGTGTTGACGCAGCATGGACAACATACCGAAGATCCGTACTTTTTTTGCATTCCGGGAAACATCGCATGCAAGCAAGTTCATCGTTTCAGTACGCTTGCGAAGTTCACTACGCGATGACTCACATCAAGTGTTCCCTACGCGTCGGGAACACGAGACGCACTGACACGGGGCGCAAGAGAAGCCCTTCGATGCACCTTGCAACGAGTTGAAAGCCGACTTGAAATCGCTCCGTTTATTCCCGAACAAAAGATTATCGGGCGAGAAGCAGGAGAAATAAGCAGTCGACGGAGACCAGCTAAGAGTCAGTTCACGTTGGCACTAGCTATCTGAAAACTTGCGAAAGAATACACCGAGCACTGAGCGACGATTTCGTTCCCGCCTTTCGTGCTTTCTCTTGTTCGAAGTCCCGTTCCAGAAATCAGGTGACGCCTCGAGATCAATTCAGCGAGGGAAAAAAAACTGACCGGCCTTGAAAAGTGATCGGGGAATCATAGAAACAACATGTTTAGCCATCGTTTAAATTGAATTATTGTACCCTATTCTTACTTCTCATTCGGCGCCCAATGATTCAAACGACGCAGTTGATGGCTACTGTACTCACATGATTATAAACTGCACCCCGATTTTATGGCAAGGATTTGAGAGGATACGCTGGAAACATTTTTGTAAGGGGCAGGGCTGCGCGGCCTATGCACGGAAACATTCTCGACTTCTCTAAAACCATGCAGCTATACAGTCAAGTGGAGAAATATTAGACTTCCTCCGCGGCTAAGGTTCTATGCGAAAAAGAGGCAGTAGAAAAATATTCAAAGAAGGAAAATGTTTATGCGAATTCATCAACATTAGGGTCTTGAAGGCTAGGTTCATATTGCATTTCACATGATCTCGATTACGGGACACAAAAAACACGAGACCATGGTGCGGCTTATAGCATATCTCGCTCGAGTCGAGTACAGGCCGCACCTGAGTTTTTGTTTGCCGGAGTTATGGTTTTGTGGACGAGTGCGGGTATAATCGTGAAATACGGCAATCAAGTTTTGGATATCAACAGCGAGCGGAGGCTGAATGGCAGGCAGGGATGAATAGCGCAAATAATAGCCCCAACGACGAAGGGTATCAGAAAAATAAGTCCCAGGTCGGCGGCTTTGAAAGCAGTCCACGAACATGTAGACCGAGAGTCAACATAAAACAAATACAACGAAATTTGACGGCCGTGTCGTAAAAAAATGGTCAAAATCGTCAGAGCGATTTTTCCACTGACATCGTCTCGCTGTCTTTCGTCTAGAACCAGTATTCATCTCTTGAATGAGTTTGAGTCAACACTACCGTTCACCAGGTTAGTTGGGTTTGGTTACAGGGTTTTTCTTTTATAAATCGATCAGTGTTTCCGTATGCGTCAATCGGCCACTTTTTACACTTCAGACCATCCACCGACATGTGACTGGTGATGAATATTCGCTGGATTGCTTTCTTACCGTTGGAAGCACCTTGAAAATTGAGCCTTTCCATCAACCACAAAAAAATGTGAAGACCAGTTGATAGGAGCTAAATAAGTGACTTTATTAATCTCGTTGCTAGTCGCAAGTTGCATAGTAAAAAATCGCCGAAATAAAAAGCGACGAAGCAAAAATAATGCTCACTATACGTAAAGAAATCCAAGCCAAGGGAGAAGCTGATTAGTACCGCTTCCGAAGCGCGTCGGCGAGGAAAAAATTATCCTGCAGAAAATCAACGAGGTTTCATAAAGCTTCTGCGTTTCTTCGCGAATCCGCATCAGGCTGTGTACCTGTGTTTATGGCACACACGTAAAGTATTGTTGTCTCTCATCTTCGAGAGAGTCGGTAACCAACATCCTCATTGAATCGAATTTAAATAAAAAGGGCTCTCCGTCTTCAGAACTTTTTCTGTTCAAACTGCAATGGCCAGAATCGGAGCGGGGAAGCGAAAAAAAAATATTGCATGCCCATCGATATCCAGCGTTCGAAAGACTCTCGGGATTCAGAAAATTTTATACTTTAAAATGACAGTCAAGTTTCACGCTTGCGCTTCCTTACAAACATAAATACGTCACATACGTACATGCAATCTCGCAATCAATTCACAGTTATCACGAACAATAGAAAACGCGAATTTCCTTTCCCATTAAACAGCAAATGGAAATTTGTCTCTAGAAATTGACCAAAAAGGAAAAAGAATAATCCGTTGCTCTTGTTTTTGAGTAGCGTCCGTGAGAGCTGAATACATTTTCATTTTTCAACCCCGAGAAAACGAAAGCATCAAAATCGAGAAAAATCCACAAATTTGACGAGTTCAATTTAAGCAAGACGAGCCATGATCGTGATGAATAAGATGTAATTTAAAATTCGTGCATCAATATTAAAACAAACATGGGCATCTAAATTGGAGCATGAGTCAAGTCTGTCTAGATCAAAGTTCCAAGATTGAATCCAAAATTAAGCATTACCTGTAAGCCATCAATCGTTGAACTAATCAAGCAGAGAAGAAATATTTTCAACAGAAAAATAATTTAAGCAGAAATTCCCATCTGTTGCCCTCGACGGTTATTTCCTGAAAAGATTTTACGACTCGAAGAAACTGATTCACGCGGCAGTGACACAGATGCTCCGATAAAAACGAACAACTCGGCAGAAGACGAAATTTTGGTCCACAAATTCCTTGAGCAGATGACATGACCTGAAGACGTTGCAAACGAAGAGTTTCATACAGTACTCAGAAGGCGCAAGTAGCCAGGCCCGCACCAGCAGAGAGCAGGGATAATGGTTGACCATAGGCTTCTTCTAACCAGGGAAATTTAGTCTGCCCATGTTAAATGCCTGACGATCGTCAGACGTCGCCAATGTCAGTCGTCCTCTTCGGCCCCAACCACGATCGGGAATGAGCTACTCGTGGAGGGTGACAGGAGAAGGAAGGCAAGATGGAAAGAAAATAAGTGAATCGTGTTAAGCATCGATTGAAGATTCCAATAGGGAAAGAAGAAATCCCATAATACAGCTAAGAATCTACACAGAAAAGATAAACCGACCAATCCCCATAATAAAGACTACTTCGAATTAAATCAACGCGGAAATGCGAAAATTTGTACAGCGTTCGCAAGGAAAAAATCACCCTACTCATTGCTAAACAAAGAAATGCCCAATCGTGTAGTAAAGCACGGACATGCTTCGCCGAACTGGTCCATTTGTGCGGTGGTTTTAAAAATATTATTAATGAATAAAAAAAAATACACTAATTGTTAACACAGGTTTGCATGCCGCAGAAATGAATACTGGTTCTGTGTGAATAATTGCCAAGGAACCGAGCTTCCTAATAGCTGAGTCGCCTGTTCGACGCCGCAGCGACACAAACTCTTGAAACGGAGAACGGCAAGAAAATATGCGTGTTACACATTCAAATGATCTACGACAGGAATGCCTGTAAGAATGTGCAAGACAAGATCGTGGACAAAACGAATCAGCGCAAGACATAGGCCACGTGGCAATAGGAAAAGCAACGAAGGGGTTTGTCGAAGTAAATCTCAGTCTACGAAGGATACTACCAAGGACTCGAATCTGCACGTCAAAGAAACAGAGCGCAAAGAAAGGCCAAAATTGCGATCATCGTGGTGCACATCATGAAAACATCCATGCCGAGACAAAAGTGAAGAAACGCAATTAAATAACATACGATCCAGAACATGGAATTGTCCGCGCAGACCTGGATCAAATCTTGCGGGTTTTGGGTGTCACGCGCGAGCTTCGATTTTGTCGCTGAAAGCTCACCTGAAGATGGATCAATATCCGTCGATTCGGTTCCAAAGGCTCCAGTGTCAGCGAAGTGATTTGAAGTCGATGTCATCATTTCCTCCGCTCTCGGTGGTGTCAGCGTCGTTGAATCATTCAGCGTCACCAGCGCGGATTTCTGAAGATTCCACTTCCTTGGTTTGGGTATAGGGTGGACCTTCGGCGAATCTTCACACTGAGGAGACGACGAATAGAAAATGCCGGACTCTTCCGAGCTGAGGGTCGAGGTCCTCGTGCCAGTGTCACAGTCCTTGCTCGATATCGTCGCGTCGTCATCGGGACTCGTGATCACAGCTCGCTCGTCTTGGTCATGCGGTAAAATTATGACCTCTGCATGTTTCGGCTTCGTGTCTTCAAGAACTATCGGCTTAGGTTCTATGACTTCGATCTCCACGGGCTCCGGTTGAGACCCTTTGGCAGAACGAATGGCACTAAACATTGTCGCCGAGCTGCTTGGTACCTCCACAATCGACACCGAAACCGAGGTTGGTTTCGGTAATTCATCTTCCACGTCCTCTTCGGCACTGAGTTTTTGAGCTAACGCTGCGATTGCCCCGATTGGACCGGGACCAAAGTCGATCACCGGCAGCTTTTTTTTCTTCGGAAATTTACTGAGAAACTGCTGGTGATCAACATCTGCATCATCTGGGGTGAATATCCCTTCTGATTTCCGAAGCTCGGGAACGGATTCAGCTGGTTTCAGCAACGGTTTATTGTCGAGCGACTGCAAGATCTCCGCTAATATTCTCGGAGAGCCGCCGTACGCAAGCTTCTTAACCGGTGGAGTTTCCCCTCTTTCAATCGGCAGTGGCATGACACAAAAAAATTTGTTGACGAGACCAACTCCGACAGCAGCATCGGCTCGACGCAGATCCGGATGAGACGAGAAACGTTTAGCGTTGCGCATGCGAGACTTCGTTGCCAAGCTCGGAAGATTACATCTTCCACGCTGGAAAACCGGGCTAGGAGTTACAGACCTGTGCCAGCCTGGATTTTGGGTCCATTCTATCCGCATGTCCTCTTCTATAGACGAGTTGGGTTCACCGCCATCCGAAGTTGTGCCGACGGTCTCTAGGAGTCGCTCCAACCCTTCAACGTCCACCGAGCCATCTTTCTTCACGCTACGGATCATCAGAGGCGTCGGCGAGTTGGTCGCACTGCGGTCTTTGAGGTCTTTCCGTAAATTCCTGAATGCCATGTCATCGAGGACACAATCAGGTTCTTTCGAATTCACCGGAGGTTTAGGGACCGGCTGTGCGTGCAAGTAGTCATTTGGAGAGCTCTGGGGAAGAGGCCCCAATGGGATGCCGAAAGGAGGCTGCGGATCTAGTATTTTCGACACGTTTGCATCCCTGTAGTTACGATAGGATACGTCATCGTGGGTAATGTCCGGCTCACGAGAAGATGCAGGAGGCAGCATAGCAGGATCGAAAAATTCGAAACTGATCGCAGGCGACAACGCCGGTGACACCAGCAAGTAGCTGTTGGAGCGCTCCTGGAATGGGGACACAGGTTTGCCTTCCGGGAATTTCTGAGCAAGCTGCGCCCGGCGGAATGCCATGTCGTCGTTGAGTTTATCCGGGAAAGAGGCGATGGTCTTCCGACGCATGACGGCCAGGGGATGTGGTGGCATGGCACTCGGGTTTCTATCTCCGGCGCTTCCCTTTGCCTTCATGTGTTTCTCATAGAGACACGCAGCTTCTCGCCGATCAGCACGGTCCAGCAACTCCTCGTCGTCGAGGTTCAAGCTTGCATAAATAGTTTCCAATTCGTGCAGAGCTTGCTCGAAGTCGAAGTTGCTGCGAGAGACAGGCACTTTCGCTGGCTCTGGTTGTGGCGTGACGGCAGTGAGTCCCGAGCGTCGAGTACGAGAAACAGCGGACGACGAATCAAGCACCAGGTTACTAGGACGCTGTTCGGGTAGACCGCGAGGCGGCACTGGGAACGACCGACGCCAGCCACTGTCGCTGGAAAAACCCGACGCACGAACTCGTACCGGCTCCCGGGTTCGACCGCCGTCGACGCTCCAAGGGGCACTTTGCAAACTGCAGGACGACAAAGCGGAGTCGCAGCGATCATTTGCAATGATCCCGAGTTTCTTGGCTATTATCTTGGTGTTCTTATTGGATGAGGAGGCGTCACTTAGTGAAGTAAGCGAAGACGCCACTCGAGGAGCTACCGAATTGAATTGTCTTTCTTGAAAGCCTGGCTTCGCTGGAAGACCCGAACCATTGATGCGATCAACGGGAGTCCTCTGATAACGACTTGATGGCAACAACAATCCTAGAGCGAAAACAGAAAAAATTCATGAGTGCCAGTGTATATCAAAATGATTCAGGAGATTTACAATATCACATAAGAGCGAATTTTATCAGTACCCGGAAATTAAATTCTGTCATACAATTTTATGCTTCAGAATTATCAAAGCATACCCAAACTTTGAGAAATAATCCTTTAAGGCTTCGAAACACTGCGGGGTCAATGAAAAGAGACTTCGTTTACGACATTCTCTGAGGCCTTCGGGTTTTTTTCGATGGCAGCCTTAATCCTCAATCGCCACTGCCACCCCCAATGCGCCCTTATTCTGAATCACGAACACGGAAGCGTCAAGCTTTCAACGTTGTTTTTATTGGAACATGATGGCAAGACTTGCGACACTGTTTTTCTTTCTCTCCATGGCATGATGAGATCATGCAAACAATATTAGAACTTGGACTGCCCACTGCCTCCCAAAGCATGCAAAAATGGCAGTTAAACCGTCTTGGGTGCACTTTCAGTTCTCGGCATTCTCTCCATTTCAACCAAGGTGAGCAACAATTGCAATCGTGATCAGGAAATGATCGAATATTACTCTGTAAAAAAAAAAACACCCAGCTTCTTAAATCCTACACTCCGACAAGATAAATCGAAGATTGATACAAATAACTGTTTTGACCTTCGTAAAAAAATTACATCAGATTGTTTTGTCCTTCGTAAATAAAAAAAAACAGGATAGGAAAGCATGTATCTAAAGCAAAAGCCTCATGAAATTGAAACAATGATACAGTCGTTCCTCATCGGCGCTTTCTATACACGCATCTGATAGTACTCGCACAGAGAGTGATTTCGCGCAGAATTCGATCGCACGCAACGACCAACCACAGTACTGTTCAGTACTTCCTCAGCGTTGAGATTTATTGCAACTATCTCCTTCATTTCTACTTCGAAAATGCTGTTGCATTTTAGAAAGAAATTACTATATTCCGCTATCTACTCGATGGGATTTGTTCAGCCACACGAAACGTATCGGCAAAACGTGTCAGAAATTGAAGGGGAAAAATTCTCCGAGGTTTCCTCGACGGACTTGAAAGGGAGGAAAAACTTCCGATCAGAAGATCGTAAACAGCAAGCATTCGCTCACCTGCGGCGGTGTCGTGTGAGTCGCAAGGTTTCCCAAAGAGTCCCGGGCATTTTTCAATGCTCGGACCTTTCGCAGCGACTCGTCCTGGGTTCCACTGCTGCGTCACGTTGGCTGCCGGAGGCACATCTATGACTTGATACTGCTGCTTGATTTTCGGCTGCGGAAGAACCGGCGGTGATACACTGCGCGGATGTGGTTCCCAGGCACGACCTCGACCCAACGGAGGACTAGAAAATGACATCAATTTGTGCCCTTGCTGCGAGAATGGATGCCCAAGGTGTGACTTGGCATATACACCCGCCGAACCGATGATCAGCGACATGGGACGGTTGACAGCCACGCTTTGCTTGCTGCTCGGCAGTCGCGGCGGCGGTGTCGGGGGCCGGGCGAATGGCACTTCCTCCGGCGCCACGGCGGCGCGGACGACCTTCGGTGATGCAAGGACATTGCCGCCGTAAACCGGGTAAGGACCCATAACTCTTCCACCGTCTTCGATGTAAGGCCTTCGCTCCGGTTCTTCCGGGCGATTACAGTCTTGAAAGGGTCGATGAACACTTCTGAAAAACAGCATTGGTAAGCAACGTCACGCAGGGTATGATAACACGAAGACGGTGACTGGGAATCTTTATTCAGTCTTACAACTACGGGCACCGTCGAAGAAAAAAAACTTTTGCTCCATCCAATTCTAAAAATTATCTGCGGCAGTAATTCCATCAAAAAGGCAAAATGGGACGAACTGGCATTTAAAATCGAACCAATCGATAATACATTTCAGTAATTTTTAATCATTGACATCAACGCTGACGTTACAGCTCATTCAGAGATTTTCCAACGATGAGGATGCACAAACGACTCGCGAGTCTGCCATTTTAAAAATCATTATAATTAATAATCCATTAATACAGTATTTTCCCGCGGTTCTGATACGATCTCATATCCTGAAAAAATTGCTTTCCTCCGTCCAAGAACGAATTCTACCCGAGCATGCCGTCAACCAGTGCGCGCAAACATAATCACGCTTATCAGGATTCAAAGCTATTATTCGAATCGACGCAGCTGTTGGTATAACGACACAAATAATATAAACGTATTTGAATAAGCTTCAAAATTTTGCAGGGAAAACTTTCATATATCAAGGTATACAAATGTTCTGAATGATAAGCTAATGCAGGGAAACTTGCAGTAATTTTGATTTAATTTTAGTAAATTCCAATGGCGGCAGAAAAATAAGGTTTTCAAAAATGATTACAGTATGGCATCTAGTGCAGTACTTGCGAGGAGTGACTTTCATATTTCTGCGCATGGTCTGCCATTTTCGAAAATGGCATGAACAATTTTACCTCCGGATACGGTGGAATTTTTTTCTACATGACAGAAGTTCAAGTTTTGATTGAATAATTTTATTTTACAGAAGTAATGTTCAATATTCTACAAGCATTTTTAGAAGCATAAAAAGTCTTCACTTTTCTGAAAAAAAAGTGGAATTCTCGGCGAAAATACAAAACTTGACAGCTAAAATTTAACTGTGACTCAATTGTTGCCTTGTCCAGAGGGAATCCGTTCGAGGACATTTTAAAACTACTTTCTCCATGTAATTTCGGACGAGTGAATTGATATTTTATTCCGGGTCACCCCTCTTCCAACCATTCACAATTTTTTTTCCAATTATAAGAAGCCAGTTCCTTATGATAAGCCAATTTTCACTGTGTGGTGCATAGGTTAAATTATTAAATCCCTAGAAGAACGATAGTTCGGAATCATAAATTACCCCTCACATACTGACTTCAGAAGTGCAAGGGAAGAAAGAGCTGGATAAAATATTTGTCAAGCGGATTCCCTTTTTGTATAGTCATTTGATTGAATCAAATTTGGACTGAAATGTACATTTTTTCGAACTTGTTTCTGCTTTTTCTAAAAAAAATAAAGAAAAATTCTGTACGGTACAATGCAAAGACTTGAGCCCTTCTCAAAAAAGCAACGTTTGGTTCAATCAAAAAAGATTATTCAAAAAATAAAAATAAAATGTACTAAAACGTAGAGAACACTGTAAAGCAATTTATCGTTCTCAAAAAGGAGCATTTTTTTTACGGCATACCGTCCGCAGAAACTTGCATACAATGCTATCTGTCGATTAGAAAAAAGTTGTTGATAGTGATTTCTTCGAATTGATTCGAACCACAACTCTAAGAGAGACGAAAAATTAGTAACCAGTACATTTAATGAGCATTCTAAAAATCCAAAGACATTCCATTTTTTGAATTTAGATGTTTCGGCAATTTCGTATGATCTCTGTGGATACTCGCGCGGAAAAACTATCCTTAAAACAATGTCCGACGCTTACTCGTCGTGGCAGTTTGATATAGCCAGTGATCCGAACTCCAGAAGCTCCAATTACTTTTTAAAATATTTGTAATACAGTACATTATTGGGCGAAGTATCGAAACGGAATCCCAAGCACAAAGCCCTAAAAAAACAGCACAAAGCACTAAAAAAAACAGCACAAAGTACTAAAAAAAAAAAAAAGATTGAAGCCCATTTCTCCCCAATCCTGAGATTGATTGGGCCCAATATACAAAATCACAAGCCCGTTTCAACGCGGAAAAAGCTACATTTTCCATTTCGATAGTGAGATTTTGGATTTTACCGATTTCGAACATTGTTTAAATTTAAGGATGAAGGTAGAACATTTGTGTTTTTTTAATACCTGTCCTGTAATCCTATTTTCAATGACTGAAAGCAGTTGTCAAAATCCGGAGACTGACGGAATCGAAATGCAAAGTAATGCCTATCTCTTCCGTACGGTAGTTTATTTTAGATTGAACTAGCGGTCATATTAGCGCAGCTAGTCATACAATTAGAAACTGTATACTTTAATTAAATTACAGTAGTAATGATATGAGCTTTAAGTTGGTTTTTAAAGGCAGGAGCAGCAACCATTTACGAGTTGGTTTATCACTATCGTATTCTCGAGACTTTTTTAACTCTTCCTGGTTCATCCTGCAAAGATCGATACGGACCATAATGACCATAACACATAACTTCACCCGGCAACATAAGTCTACAGAGTACATATAGTATTTCATAGTGTGGTCTCCACAATGAGGTTTACGTCATCAGAGAAGCTCCCATACACGGGAAAAGCTTAAAAACATGGCCTGAAGCTAAATCCAACGGACTAATGACGAAGAAGGAGAAAAACGATAAAAGTACCTGTATTGTGCAGTGTGGTCTCCGACAGCTGAGCCGTCACCTTGGCCAACGAAAGGCACGCCACAATCTCTATTAGACCCCTGGAATTGCGGATCATTGCCCGGCAGCATGGAGTGCCGACTCGGGGGATATTGCGGATAATATTGTCGAGGATAAGCGTAGTAGGTTGCCATCGGGCTGAAATTTTGTGACGACAACGGCCTCGGGAAACGAAGTCCGGGACTGGGACTTTGCGTCGGCGTCGCCGGCGCCGACGGCAGCTTGGCCACATGATTCGTTTCGATCCGAGGTCGGGTTTCGTAAGATACCAAAGCTGTCCAGTTTTTGCCGTAATAAACGCACGAATCCGTCACAGGCTCCTGCGGACCGGGCGGTGGAGTCAGTTGAGACGTTTCCTCATCGCGGGACAAGCGCTTGATGTAACGCTCGGTCCTGGCAGCCCGAGACTTGTGTTTCGGCGGGCCTTGGCGCGAGGGACTCAAGGAGTTGAGCGATGGGGACGAAGCGTAAGACATACGATGGCTGCTACGATTCGACGCGGAACCGAAGCACTCATCTTCCGTCTCCGTCGCACTTCCGGCACCGATTTGCTCTCGGCGCTGGGCCTCAGCACGAGCTTTCCAGGAACTCCGCTTCCGCTCTTTGGACAAGCTGTCGCTGCTGGCCTTGGACGTGTCGAGGAAACCACTGGAGGGACTCCCACCGCTCGCCCAGCGTCGCCTGGCCACGACGGGAATCGCGTTCATGGATTTGAGCGAGGGGGCGACGAGACTGTCCGGGGACAGTCCGGAGAGTCTCGCAGCATTCCCGTTGGTCAACGGGTTCTTCAGTTTCCGAGCCCGTTTGATTTCGTAATCTGAGTCCGGACCGAGATCGGATCCGCTGGAAGACGACGAAGCGTCTTCGCTGTCAGCTACTTTCGCAGGTTTTCGCTTGAAGAAGTTGGATAGCTTCCAGCGTTTGTCTTTCGGCTTAGACGACGTGCTCAGCTGCGGACTAGGCGTCGGCTTTGGCACAAGGTCGGGCGGCGCCGGTGGGCTCGCAGCGTTGCCTAGCTTGGCCATCTGTGCCCGATACATCAGCGTGTGGATCGGCGGCGTCACGAAGCCGTCGGGCATCTCGAGGTCCGAGTTCTGCCGCTTGCGGTGGAACAGTGAGAACGGCATTTGTGCGCTTTGACTCGAACAGCCCGTTGAAGAAGTTGACGCAGGGGATGTCACCCCCGAGTGGAGCCCGCAATCCGAGTTGTTGGACGCAGAGAAGCGCAATGACGGGATGTCATTGTTCACGAAGTTGTTCGCTACGAAAATATCCTCTTGCGGCCAGCCTCCTCGGTTACGAACGGCCTCTAACCCGCTATGCTCACGCCAAACTACCTCTTGATGGAAGGTTGCGCCGGGGTCGAGCGATTTCCCGCGCTCCCCGGGAATCACTCCATTGACCCGCGCGATCTGCAAGTACACGGAACGAACAACATGACATTCAACAACTCGACTCTCTTCCGCCACGTCTTTCAACCATCAACTCAACTTCCGTTTTCAGGCGCAATAATCTAGAACGGAGGAGCCCGGAAGGACCCTAATCAGCATTGTCATAGTTCGCTCGAGTTGAGACCGCGGTACCAAGCGACGATATGTTCAACGCCTAAAGCGAAAATGCTGGGTCACATACCACCAAGGTCTCAAAGAGTGAGTTTCCGGGCCACCTGCCGTTGAAGAGTCGAGCGCCTGGGGCTAACACGGGATACTGTACGCGTGGGTTTCGCTGCTGTTTTTATTTGAAAGCGTGCTTCAACAAAATTGTAGGTATTCCACAGAAGCCAAGTTCGCTCATTGCATCAAACGTAGCTCTTCCATACAGTATTGAACAACCTTATTCTATTGATGTTTCAAAAGAGGCCTGCCGACAGTCGACAGTTCATTGAAAAACTACCGCGAGAAACCAAATTCGCGTGTTCTTCGCATCAAACAGGGAAATTCCTTGGACAGAATGTCGGTATCGCGGATAACCGTAGTTACTAAAGCAAACTAACATTTTTTCAACTCTAAAAATACTGCATCTGCGTGGGTCTCACAATCGATGTCGTCGACCGATGGCATCTTTCACTTGATAGTGTCTAACATTCGCACGTACAGTGATCAATTCCAACCAGCATCAAACTTCTGAGAAAGGTTGGTTTCCAAGTACAGTATTCAAACACAATCCAACTCGGCTTCCCTACAACAATAAATCATTCTATCACAAATTTAGAAAAAATTTACATATATTTTTTTTAACTTTCTGCAGCAGCAATGCCATCGCGAATGAAGAGCCTCAATTCTTCTTGAAATTCCGAAATCCAGTTCATGCGTTCAAAGATATCAATGAGGATGACAGAAATCGGTGCAGAAAATGAAGGTTTTTACGACGCAGATGAGAATCGTGATGAGCCATCATGGGAATCCTCTCATTCTGATGAAAGGAGAACGAAGCACGTCTTCCATTCGCCAGCGCGATTGCAATCAATTTTACGAATGTTATAATCGATATCTTACATGGGAGTCAATACTAAACGCAAGAGAGCCATGGATATTTAAATACACTTATGACGTTAATGAGAGAGAAATCAAACCTTCCAAGGTTTATAAATACTGTGCTGGGGCGTCTGCTTTCGTACAACAAAACTTTCCACTTTTTCGAACATCATTTCAGTTTGAGAGTGGAGTATTTTTGATGATCAGATAATGGAAAGGACTGTCTGAATAATTTCCTGCTTTCCATCGTTATTACGGTATGGTGATTTCGATGAAAAAGTATGGCGTTTCAAAGACGCGGAAGCAAAATAGGCGGCCCGCAACTTTGAGGCAAAAAATAAGATCACATTCATTCCGAATCAAATTCGATTGACTCCATAAACTATAAGGAGCTCATCATTCGGTGATGTGAACGTATCAATCCGTCGATCGCCGGCGGAAATGAACCGACCGAATCGTTCATTCGATGCGCCCTAAAATGGTCCATTATTGCGATTATACGGCGAAGGATACACGGGTTGCTGCTAGGGAGAAAAAGTGTACGGGCTGCTCGAAAGTTGACCCAACACGTTCGTTCTCCTTCGTGCCAAAAACTGTCATTATGTCTAAGAACGCAGTCATAAATAACCAAAAATGACACTCAAGAGAGAAAGAAACCGAGAGAGAGTTAGAGAGAATGAGACGAACTGGAGCAGCGGAACACGGTAGAAAATGAGAAACGTCCCAGAGAAAACGAATGGGGCCGAGAGATCGGAAACTTTCGCTGAACGCCTCGGGGAAATCGAATCACGATTTCGCCGTTGCTGCATGGACCAGAAAAATTATCATCGTTTCCGCTTGCAATCTCCTCTTGTGATTCGTGCATCTCATCTGTGTCCGAGCTGAGCCCAGGTTTTTCGGCTCCGCTAGATCGAAGCCAACCGCAATTTCCTCCGTCGGCTGCCGCAATTTTTAGTGCAACCACGCAGTCAATTTTTCTTCCTGTTGCACGCGTTTAAGTCCTGTCGTTTCCGAAAAGAAAATATCTGACTCCTCCGAAAATAAGATATCCTTTACGACTTATGTAATTTGTTTATTCCTATACTATACTTATAAAATATAAGATTATATAAATTATAAGATATGAATGCTGCTCTATTGTTGATCGTGGAAATCAGATCAGGGTGAAAATCCCTGAGATATACCTTTAAAAACGCATCATTGCAACATGCCTTAGAAATTTACATTATCTAAACATAGCTTTGGATTATACCAGAGTATTTAATATTCCTGCGGCTTACAAGGTACAGTACAATTCGACCCAAAGACACTCCCGCAGCTCCAGTCATCGGGCTTCTTTACATTTCAAAATCACTTCTCACATTTCATAATATTTTCAATTGGGATTTTCTTTGATTTGAGAGTTTCTGAAAAATACTGTTTTTCGAAAGAAACAGAAAAAGCTGAAAAAAGGAGGGTTGCAGTTCAGGCTCTCGTAAAAAGAACGTTTCATGCTTCACCGCAGGGGTTTTGTGATCCTGAAATTTAACCGAATTTTCTCGCCCTCCGTCCGAATGCTGAACACGGATATTGGATGAAAACCCATGCTGCAGTCAATTGTAATCAGGATATTTAATTTGTTCGAATATATGAGGTTCGCAGAACTATGATTGAGCATGTGATACGAATTATAGTGATCTCAATTTTCAAACCGGGCACATTCTGAGAGAAGAGCTTAGATAACGACTGATGTCTAAATTTACTGTTACGATTACTTTCTCCTATATACTGGGAAACACGATACAGGGCCAATTCGTGTTACTCTTCGAAAAATTCGGCCACAGTTAATTGGAATGAAATCGCCGGAAAACAACGGAGCACGAGTTCATATGAAATCTGCTCCAGCGGCTGCACGATCAACCCAAGACCCTCGAACACTTTCTCACGCAATCCAATAGCAAATTCTGGCTCGAACGAGCCCCTGGGTCAGGCTCAACGTTGGGTGGAAGGTAATGCGAGGGAGATCGCTATACTGTACTGTATAAAAACAATCAAGGCTGATCGCTGTTCGAGCTGATGAAGGGCCGTGGCACTTCCGCGGGGGAAGCTGCTTCGAGTCCTAAATTGGGAGTCTCCGCGTTTGTTATTACCCCGCAAATGTAATCCCGCTGCACGGCATGCGGCATTATGACCGAGTCGGTACTTGATAAAGCACGTGATGCATGAGAAAGAGGTTTCAATGACGCGTGACTCGAAACTCGACGCTCATTTCTTCCAGCGAGACGCAGTCAAGGACGATGGATTCTGTTACCTGAAGCGTGTTCGCCTCGTGCATTTCCAGCGTACGTTCGCTCGACACGAGATTCCTCCATTCCGCACCTTAAACAGCGAAGCCCATGCACGCCTTGATCCTGTCCAGAAAAAGCTCAGGGCAGGCCCAAAAGGCACACAGAACCCCGGCGTCCAAGCCGGATTTTGAATCTGGGAGTTCGGTTAGTGAAGATTTCCACGTGCCCCGCAGGAAGCGACCTGGACAAGGTCAGCGTGAGAAGATTCGTTTCGAGGTTGCCTTCATGTATACATATCATTTGTGAGCCGCTTCCTGAACCTGGCCACGTTCACCGAAACCTTCACAACCGAGGAAGACTCTCACGCGCAACGCATCTCACGAAGCAATCCAAAACCAAATCGAATGTTCTCCACCATGTCTGGAGAAAATCACGGGGCAAAAGCCACGGTTTTACTTGTTTGACTACTTTATGTCTTCTGGAATATTCTTTTAAATATCCTTACGTAAATACCTTAATCCGGGTGATATTTTTATAGAGCGGAAGAAATATCAGAGCCACGAGCATTCCACTTCGCATCAGCAGAATTGCTCGAAATTGCACGGCTTGATAGTCCTTAATGCTTTTTTCGGCTTACAGTAATTTTGAATACATTGACTGCGTACTTTTCTTAATTCATTCTCTCAACATCATAGAAAGATTTTCAATCGCATGAAAAGCAAATCACGAAAAAGTTTCACGTACTGTACTTTCATGACGTAAGTACAGTAATGTGCTTCAGGCAAACAGTTAAAAGGGAATGAGGAAAGCTGAATTATCATCTAGTAAGAGAAAAATGCAGGAAATGAGATTGAAAATATAAATAGTAAATATTGGTGATCAAGAACACCGTTTGCAGGAGACCAGAAATGTCTTTTTTTTCCTGCGCATTCCCGTGATAATTTCGTGGGGGAACTGGAACCGACCTCATGATAAAAAACTGATAGTCCGAAGATTTTGGCGCTCGAAAATCTGTTCGGGATGTGACGGTCATCTTCTGGAAGAAAGCAAGACTTCAGTGCGGATATAAGTTCGCGGCAATTTTCTGGATGACTGCGTGATTGTCTATCCGCGCGGTGAGAACCCATAATTGACCGCATCGTGATAGGTCACATTTTTGTAACAAGGACAGATTCGGTTTCCATCACGGAGCCAGAATTCCGAGCCGTCAATTGCGTGTCCACGAAGCCCACAGAGCAAAAGAAAAAAACATCGAATCCCCACACCATTAAAGAAAGGATTTGAAGAGCAACGAGTGGCATCGTCCCGGGTCCAAATTTGTTCCATAACGGAATGCGCTCCAGTACGGAAAACAACGCGTCGGATCTTTGACCCGAACCGAGTCCGGATTCGTCATCGGTCAGCGGACAGAGCCAAACGTGTTATCATTCCGTTCAACACGACGGAGGTTCCGACCGCAAAGGCTGTTTCCACGCCTCGTTCGAGGTCGAAAAAAAAGGCTCGTCACGTCAGACCCCCGCTGGGTAACAAAGCCGTGTGCGCAACGCGAACTCAACCCGACCTCATGCGCCACCCCGCGAATGCCATGCCCCCGAATGCTCCCCATTCATACAGGCGCACTGCCGGCCTTTAACTTCACGCTGGAAATAACTATGACTGCCGCACTTGTTCCCATGCTTCTCACGCGGAAGGTGAAAGCGCTCCCACAAACAAGGGCCCTGGGCTCTTCCTCTGGCGTGAGGCTACAGAAAAACGAGGCAACGCTTGTCACGATGACGATCCCAACGCGATACAAACTCATATCGGAGTCGGTAATGACCAGGAAGTCCTTCGTGAGTAATGAGTAGGATCTCGTTCAGGTCAGGATCACGTCTGGGAGACAGTTCAGCGCCGTCTCATTGGATGAGCAAATTTACCCGGGAACTCGCGGACATACGAAATACAGTACTGTACTGTAATCCCAATTAATTCTACGCTCGAATACTCTGGAGATTGTCCGCCTTCGAACTCAGGACAATCTCAAAACTGTATTCAGGATATCAACGATCATCTCCTCTTCAATGGAAAATACTCCATTGAAGAGGAGATGATCGCGCACTGTAGAACTTTGTACGGCCTTCGATTAATTGAAATACATATACGTAGTACACGCATCTAGTTTTTAAGCTTTCTTAACAGAAGCAAATAACAATCTTCCCCCTACTTAGCGTGTACCAGCGAAAATCGGGCTATAAGAAAATCGGCATCAAGGGGCAGAATTTCGACGTCTGAAGGTTCATTCGATCGTTATCAGATTACATTATCGTTCCCCTTTCACAC